GTGTGTGTGTGTGTGTGTGTGTGTGTGTGTGTGTGTGTGTGTGTGCATCTATTTCTGCTTGCCACACCACCTGAACGCTCACCTGCCTGAAAGCATGGCAGGTTACCATGACAACAGGTAATTGTCACCTATCATCACAAGTCCCGGCTGCAACGTTACTGCATATTTTAACAGGTCTTTAAATAAAAATCCCGTTGACGTGCGCGGCGAGAACTTTTCTCTCTCACTTTAACGGCGTTGATCGTGTAATTAAACGTGTGCGAGAGGTGACAGAAGTCATGAGACGACACATGTTTCACATTTGAAAAAAAAATCAGGGTCACAGAGTTTGGGTTTTGTGATTCGACTTGTACGGTTAGAGAAACTTACTCTACAGAGACGGCGTAACTCTCAGGAAGCAGATCACAAGGAACATCGCCAATGAGGATCTGGACCCCCGCAGGTCTTCGGCCCAGGTTCCTGCCTTGTACCGTGATCAGGGTCCCTCCTCCAGTCGGACCCCTCAGGGGGGAGATCTGACAAAGACAAGAGGGAAGCGATGAGGTGAGAAAGAAACACCTGTGGGGAACGCTGTAACAATAAATTAGATCTCACAAGCAGATTACCACCCTAAAAAAATCACTCTGATAAGGACGGGTGATAATTAACACTTTAAGGGAGCAGGAACGCCGTCTTTGATTGAGAGGTGGAGAGCGGCACGGACTGAGACAAGGATCCAGTTGAGCAGACACCCGGTTTAGGTGTATACACACACAAAGCAGACTCTTAACGGTGCCTGTCTGAGACTCTTCAGCCTCTAATCCTCTACAGCACATGCAAATAAAGAGCAGGCTAAGAGCCCCCCTTCACATCCCACAAGAGACAGACAGAGTGGGAAAGTGAGGGCTGGAGAGGCAAGGTGTAGAGCACAGCAGAAAGGTGGATGAGTGGGGAGGCAATTTAGAGAACCGAGTGTCGAGAGGGGAGTGAATGCTGATGATGGTGGTGAGAGAGAGCAAAGCCTCAATGGGGGAATTAATGCACAGAGCCATTTTTTCTTTCTTTCTTCCCCTTTCATCTGTTTTCCCTGTCTGTCTGCTCTGTCGGATTCCTCAGCCCTGTTTCTTGCTGTTGTTCGGAGGCACACTCTCCCTCGCCTTTGGTCTTAACTCTCCGTTTGGAAACTACGTAAAGAAAAAGAGAGGAACGCTGCTGCCTCTTCAGACATGGAAAAAGAAAAAAAAAAAAAAAACGGACAGATAGCATCTCCTAAAACAAGACAGAAGACATTCACCATCATCTCACCACTGTAGCACAGCTGTCCTGGCAGAATGCTCATTTCTCAGAATAACCTCCAGGCCGAGGCGAGGTCGCCGTGACCCCCCCCCCCCCCCCCCCGTATTATTAGCCCGGCTCCGGCTCTATCAGGAACTGAGACGAGGGATGAAAACAGGCACTTCTGTTTGGTCTAGGTGAGAGGTTTGGCCTGACATCCACAAGCCCACAAGGAACTCGCAGCGACATCAGCACAGATAAAATAAACCAGCTAAAAAGGGAGAGGCGGCTGTGAGAAGAACAGTGTGTTACTTTTTATACAAACAACTAAAACCAACTTTTCATTATTTAGTTCACTTTCTGAATGTTAAAAACTTTACACTAACATTTTACTGTTATTAAGCTCGCAGTTCTTACATTTTGCTTAATTTTACTAAATGTTAAAAATTAAATGTTAAAAATGTACATAAATATTTATTCCTGAATCTAAATGTGCAAATCTAAATGTAAAAGTTAAATCCTCACATTCAGGTATTTTGGAATGGAATGCAGCCTTTGCCATTGGTGTTCGGCTCATGTCCAAATTCAGTAACAGCGTTAGCAGCATTTAGTGTTATCTAACCAGGATGATGTCATCATCTTGCGACAAACGTCAACACTAGCCACAGCTAGCTGCTGCTAACCGCTACTAATGATTCAACCAAACACTGCTGAAGATGGTATTTATAATCTAAATTCAAAATGTGTTCATAGTACTTGAATTCCAGCAGTTTGAAGTGCAGCTCAGACTTCGGCTACAACTCTGAGTTTAATGTCTTGTAGGGAAGCGTTAGCTGTGTTCATGTGTTAGCAGTTGCTATTGTCTCAATATGATGACGTCCTAAAAAGAGCCAAGCAGCAACCACCCGGTTCGGATGTTATCAGTCCATTAAATGGACATTATTAGCGGTTATCAGTCCCATAGAATGGCTTCAGACTGTCCCGACAGTGCCCCCTAGTGGGTTACCAGTGCCATATACGTTGGAATGCAACAATCCGCTACCACTGGAGTCCGGTCTACTTTATCGTAGCCCATGTCATTTTCTCTAAAATTAACTTCAGTGGATTTATGCCTCATATTAACCAGATTACATAAAAAACCTTATTGGTTTTATGCCTCATATTATCCAGCTGACAGTCTGAAGCCATTCTATGGGACTGATAACGGCTAATAACGTCCATTTAATGGATGATAACATCCGAAGAGGGTGGCACCAACAGCAAAGGCTGCGTTCCATTCCAAGATATTTAAATGTAAACTTCAACATTTAAGATTTAACTTTTACATTTAGATTTAGGATTTAATATTTACACAAATTTTTTTAACATTTAAGTTTAACATTTAGTAAAAATTAGCAAAGTGCAAGAACAGTGAGTTAAAGAACTGTTAGTGGAAACATTTTTAACACTCAGAAAGTGAGCTAAATTATGTTATGCCATTTTTAACATTTCATTTTACACAGCACCTCACAGCCGTACATTTTGAATACATGCCTGACCTTTTTACTGTTTTTGCTGCACAAACATATTAATGTGTTAGAATTATGAAAGATGCACTATTTCACTCAAGATAAAACCCACCATAACTGATATTTATTTTCAGAATGCATCTTAGTGAGCATCTGTGTGTTGGCTTCAAGCTCTGACTTTAAGATGAGCCTGTGTGCTTTTCATTTACACCTATTGCAAGTCTGCAAGTCTTAATTTACAGCACAAAACTCTGCCAGGGCTTCGGGGAGATCGCAGGGTGTGAGTGTACCTCCTCCTGATAGAACCTTTGTGCTATTAAACACACGAGAACGCTGAAACCATTCCTCACACAAACCAAATGTAGAGCACGTACACCCAAACTGTATCCAATCTGGCTCCAGATTGTCGATCAAACTGATAAAATCCATATGCTTTCTTTATATTTGTTTTTCCGCTCTGAAAAGATTGTTTCACAATCAGCACTTTCATCTTCCTCTTGTCAGTCCAGTTCCTGTGCATCACGCTAATCAAGGAGGATGTGAAGACAAAAACAGGAAAAGGCTCCTCACTGCACCCTATATCCTCTTCTTTACCCTCGCCTTTTTTTTTCTGTCCACTACGTCCTACATCCTCTCCCCATTCAGGTCCCAGCCAGGTCTCTGTGTTCTTTTTCTTTATAAGTGGAAAAAAAAACTGTTTGTCACTTACTGGTTTAGACGCCAAAGTATGTTTTGTTTTACAGCAGTGAACTGGCCGAGACGTTACATGAGAACAAAGAGCCTGCAGAGATAATATATGTCTCCTTTGTCTGTCAACAGTGCTTTGAACAGAAAAGCATTTTTCATAATTGGGTGGTAGGTGGGTAAGTTTCGCAAATAATGAAGTCCTCCATTTTAATATTTGGTTTTGCTATGAGTTTCTTGTGATGGAGATCGTTTGTGACATAGGAGAGCGAAGACAAACAAGTTTCATTATCTTAGCAGCACCCTCTTCCCTATATAACAAAGAGCTGCTGCAGTCTTTAGGTGTGTGTGTGTGTGTGTGTATGTGTGTGTGTGTCTAGGGAGGTCGGATCTTTTTTCAGTAAGCTGGAGTACTCGGGTTCTAAACCCGTGGATTCTCTGGGAAAACACGGCTGCCAAAGCGTTGCATCACACACCCGACTGAACCACAGCCCCTGAATCCTCTCCTGCCAGAGAGCCAGTGGGGGAATATGTGTGTGTGTGTGTGTGTGTGTGTGTGTGTGTGTGTGTGTGTGTGTGTG